AGGAGAAGGAGAAGGAGAAGGAGAAGGAGAAGGAGAAGGAGAAGGAGAAGGAGAAGGAGAAGGAGAAGGAGAAGGAGAAGGAGAAGAAAGAATCTAATTCTGTACCTGTTACAGACTTCTAGCCTCAATAAGAAAGAGTTGTGGTCATCCCTTGCTTGCTTTGCTACCTTGTGTCTGCCATGGGCTGTTCCTCCTCTGCCACCCTGCCTTTAGAGCCAGTCAGTGAGGGACTGAAATGTCTACCAACAGTGGGCTACACAAACCTTTCCTCGGGCCAGGGAGATAGCTCAGTAGAATAAGCGCTTGCCCGGCAAGCGCAGGGTTCAGAGTTCAATCCCTAGTACCACAAAAAATAAAATAAAAAATAAGTAAATCTTTCCTCCTTTAACTTTGGGGTCAGGTATTTTGTCCCAGCCATGAGAAAAGTTACTAAAACAGAGATCTACTAAAAATAAAAATCTAGTAATGGAAATGCAAGTATTTACTACATTGGCTTTTACTTTCAAAATGTTCTATTAAATCTTTAAGTAAGGAATGAAAAAAGAAGCACAAGTCTTCCTCTGATCAGTGGTGGCTGTGAGAAGAAAACATGAAAAAATAATTACAAAGAGGCACAGAGAAATTTGTAGATGTTCATTACTTGTAGTGTAGTGACAGCTTTTCAGGTATATACCTGTATCAAGCCTTACCTGACCATACAATTAAATATTACAATTTATTGTGTCAGTTATTCCTCAATTTAATGAAAAAAATGGACTGTAAAACCTTCTAAAACTAAATCTAGGGGCCAGGGAGATGGCTCAGTGGAATAAGCGCTTCCCTGGCAAGCACAAGGGCCTGAGTTCAATCCCTGGTTCCGCAAAAAAATAAATAAATAAATAAATAATAAAACTAAATCTACCAAAAAAAAAACCTACCCTTGTTTAAAATACTTCCCACACACACAAAAAAAATAAATAAATAAATAAATAATAAAACTAAATCTACCAAAAAAAAAACCTACCCTTGTTTAAAATACTTCCCACACACACAAAAAAAATAAATAAATAAATAAAATAAAATAAAATACTTCACGTATTTGGCACAGGGTCTCACTATGCAGCCAGCATACCCAGGATACGGCATATGGTACCAGGGGTCAAACCCGGGTCTTTGTGCTTGCCTAAGCAGGCACTTAGTCTACTGAGCTATCTTGCCAGCCCCCTAAAATACTTCAAAGGCTCCCCCTCTGCCTCCAAGATAAATCTTCAAACTCCTACCCTAACACCCCAGGAGTGGTATGCCATTTTCTCACAAGTAGCCTCAAGTTCAGTCAGATTTACTTACACTTTCTTTTCTAGCATTATTAGAATAATCAGAGAACTAGGTGGCATAAGTACCTGCCTCACAAGCACAAGTCCTGAGTTCAATCCCCAGTATGGGGGGGGAGGGGACTTTAATTCTGTACCTGTTACAGACTTCTATCATAGCTTTCCAAGTGTTTGCAGTCTTTAAAAAAATCTCTATTAGATTATAAAATTGAAGAAAATTTATGTTTTTTAAATTTCTTCTTTTAAAAAAAATGTATTTAGTACAGGGTCTACAGGGTCTCACTACACAGATCAGACTCATAATGATTTTCCTATTTTCAGCCTCCCAAGTACTGGAATTACAGGCGCGTGCCAGCACACCCAGTCTCAATCAACATCTCAGTACATCCTGGGAGTGAGGCCAGCATAGCATGCAGGAGATCAAACCCCAGTCCCTGTGCCTGCCTAAGCAGGCGCTTCAGTCCGCTGAGCTATCTGGTCGACCCTGAAAGTTTATATTTTTAATGCAGTACCTTGCATCCTTCCTAGAACGTAAATCTTTATACTCATCTGTACACCTATCACAGTACCTAGTCTAAACTCCTTTTCAGAGTGGTAGTCAATAAATACCTGCTCTATTCTAGCTCACTACCACCTTCAAGGAGTCCTTAAGGAGTTTCCACTGTTTTATCTCATACTATATTTTAACATATGCTAGGAAGACCTTGGTGAAGCAGTATATAGTGAAAGGGGTTTTCCTTATTTAAATCTCTAAACAGATAGACATAAATGAATAGAAAAAAGACACGATTAATAGAGGAAAGAAGAGATGGTTTTTATGACTGTTACCACCTAAGAAATGAATCTGCAACAATCCAGATACAAGAGTAAGGTAGCTGGAGCAGCTATTAACTTCCAAGACAAAGCAAGGTGTTTATTTCAAGTCTCCAGCCCAGTGAACACACACCCTAGCCTGCCTGCCTGCCTGCCTATTTGTCTGTCTCTGTCTCTCATTCTGTCTGTCTGTCTGTCTGTCTGTCTCTGTCTGTCTGTCTGTCTGTCTGTCTGTCTGTCTCTCTCTCTCTCTCTCACACACACACACACACACACACACACACACACACACACCTCTCTATCTTAAAAGCTAAGAAGCTAAGTAATTTAGGACAAGGGGAATAGCTCAGGGGAAGAGCACTGGCCTAGCACCATGCATGAGGTCTAGGGTTCCATCTCCACCAAGGGGAAAAAATATTTAAAACATACTAGTTGCCATTTCCCCAGATGTTCTCAAATTCATTAGTAAACAAATAAAAACCTCAATTACTTTCTGATTTGGTGTCAACAGTTACTTCACCAAGTGCATTTTGTTGTGGGCTATAGAAAGTATTATTCGGGTCTGGGTATAGTTCAGTGGCACAGTGTCTGCCTGGCAAGCACAAAGTCCTGAGTTCAATTCCAGGTAATAGAAGAAAAAAGAAAAAAGAAAAAAAGAAAAAAAAAAAAAAAGAAAAGATTTCCAAAATATTTACTAGGAACAGCATACTGCACTTAGCTGAGCTGGCAAGGAATACAAGAAGTAAAATTGCAGTGTTTCTAAATCATATATAAAGTGGCTAAAATTACAAGTGGTAGAACAACTTAAAATACAGGCTGGCAGGGCTGGGGAGATAGCTCGGCAGTCAAAGAGCCTCCCTGGCAAGTGCAAGGACTGGAGTTCGATTCCCAGTACCACATGCTGTGCCAGCCCCACAACCCCCTGTCAGCCCCAAAACCGTGTTTGGTGGCACATGCATGTAATCCCAGCACTGGGGAGTCAGAGCTACGTAGTGAGATCCTGTACCAAATAAATAAACAAACAAACAAACAAACAAACAGCTTGAGGGCCGGCCTGATAGATCAGCGGACTAAAGCACCTGTTTAGGCAGAGCGCTGCGGCCAGGGTTGGGACCAGCTGAGACTGCGATTGAGACTGGGTGCAGTGGTGCAGTGCCTGTAATCTCAGCCCTTGGGAGGCTGAAAACAGGAGGATCACTACAAGTCTGATCTACACAGTGAGACCATGTAGACCCTGTCCTAAATACAGAAAGAAAGAAAAAATATATATATATATACAAACTGGTAGGCACATACAGCCTCTGCTATGAAAAACAGTATTCTTGAACCAGTTTGTTAAAGACTTACAGTATTAAACTGTACAGTTTCTCCATGATTAAAAATAAGATCTGTGTCCACCTAACCTTTTTTCTACTGCCACTTTCTTTCTCCTTTAATACCAAGAGGTTAGATTACACTGGAGTGACTTCTGAGGACTGGACCCAAAATTCAAGATGTACTGTACTTTTGACATACGGGTGCTAAGAGTCTAGAAGTCTTTCTTGAGTTCATTCATTCATTCATCATTAAAAACTATTAAGTATCCAGAATGTGCCGGACACTGGACACTACGCTCAGCAAAATCAAAACCACTTATATAACCCCGATTCTTGTGCACCTTTCTTTCAATCTAATTCTGTTGTCTATATCACAATTAATCATAAAAAACTGACTACGGCCTCTACAATTCAGGCTCAGAAGACAAAGGGACTGCAAGGAGGAAAACGAAGCCCGAAAGTGTCTTGCCCAAGGTCACACCACGCAACAGTGACAAAAGAGGACAATCCCCGTGTCCCACAACTCCATCAGTGTCTCTCCCTGAGAGGCAGGGGCTACAGACGGCGATGGAGGAACTGCAAACCTCATCAGATATCGATCCAGGGTTCCTCTCTCCTAGAAAGAGGGGGAGACGCCAGAGTCAAACCAGGAGCAGGGAGATGTGGGAAGCTGCCTTAGTTTCCCCGCGGAAAGACGGCCTCGCAGCCAAGCGGCCCCACAGGCGCGCCTTTCGCAACTTCTTCCAGCTTCTCTCGCCCCGCCCTCTCCGACTCCAACCCCGAGACCAGACAGGCAACCATAGGATATTACTCCGGCACTCACAAGAATTCGCACCAGCAACGCCATGTTCCTCAGCAACCATTTCCGGGTGAAGGGTGAGCTTCCGGAATCCCCGCGGTCACAGCCCCTGCACCTCCGCGTCCTTTCGCTAAAGGCACTCGGGCAACCCCGGCGCAGGCGCGGAGCCCCCGTGCGCATGCGCCCGCGCAACGCACCTGGGGGCGGTCAAGCCGGGTTGCCGTCTGGACTGTGTGCTCCCAGCTACGCGTCACAGTGGCTCAAAATCTCCACCGACGCCACCTCCTGACCTCGGTCTCTTGTATCCCAATTTTTTGGTTTTCTTTTTGAGACAGGATCTTGCTATGCAGTTCAGGCTGTCCTTGAGTTTACTTTGTAGCACAGGCTGGTCTCGAACTCGCAATGATCCTCCTGCTTCAGCCTCCCGAGTGCTGGGATTACAGGCGTGCCCTACCAAGCCTGGCTGTATCCCAGTTGTTATCTTCTGCCTTTTTTTTTTTTTTTTTTTTTTTTTTCAGAACTGGGGAAAGGGCTTGCCAGGGAAGCGCTTATTCTACCGAGCCATCTCTCCCACCCCTCTTCTGCCTCTTTAGCCTGACTTCTCAGCAGCCTTTTCCTAGAGTCCCTCCTTTCCAGATCACCAGCGAAAGTACCCATTTTCAAGGGCGAACTTAAAGAGAACTGGATTTTGGTGAATCTCAATATTTATAAAGAGCCTAAGAAGGAATTTGAGATAAAAGTATAAGACAGAGTGTTGAGAATGAAAGAAAGAAAGCAATCACATGCTGACCTGTATATAACTTGAGAGAAGAAGAAACTCAGAGTTTGTGTTTGGTTCGTTGATTGGTTAGTAGAAACTTCTTTGAATATTTCTGAGAAATGATTTTGTAAAGTTGAGGATACTGGATAAAAAAAATCAAGGATGCAAGGAGTTTTCTGAGAAGGTGGCCTTTTCTGAGAAAAATAGCGTTGGCTAGAGAACTCTTCATTGTATCCCAGAAGTGGAAGAAAGTGTGAATGTCCCAGCGGTTGACTGGGAGCAGAAGGCCAGGCTGTTTCAATTCCTTCCTTTCAGCTCATTCAACAAAGATCCTTCCAGTGTTCCCTGTGTACTAGACACAAGACATCGTGGACACTGGCTCATGGAGCTCATAGACTATACAGGAAACAGGAAAGTATTCAACCAGTGAAAGAATAAAAACTGCTAAGTATTATGAGGGAAACAGCTAATGTAGAGAACACGGTGTAGAATTTCAACTATATGGCCAGATAAAGCCTTTAGGAGGTGACATGGAGGATGAGATCTAAAGGATGAGGAGGAGATCACGTATATAATATGACATATATGTGTATGACATATATGTTTTCAAATATGTATACATGTAGAAACCAGGGGTGGTGGTGCACATTTGTAATCCCAGCACTCAGGAGGCTGAGTTCTGCAAGTTTGAGGCCAGGCTGAGCTACATAGTGAGTTCAAGGCCAACCTAAATTACACAGCAAAACCCTATCTCAAGAAAAGGGAAGGGAAAGGAAGAGAAGGGAGGGGAGAGGAGGAGGAAAAAGATTGTGGAACAGCTAATTCAACTAATGAATATATCACTGTTTTATAATGAAATACTTCAAATCCACTTGCTAATTGATCTTCAAGTGTATATTTATCAACTCCAGTCACTTAACTGAAATGTTGTATCCTTTAACATCTCCCCAAACCCTTTTCAATCACCATTCCACTCCCAACTTTTTTTTTTTTTTTTTTAAATCAGAACCGGGGATTGAACTCAGACCCTTGCGCTTGCCAAGCAAGCGCTTATTCTACTGAGCCATCTCCCCGGCCCCCACTCCCAACTTCTGTAAGCTCGGTTTTTTCAGATTTCATATTAAGGAGAATGATCTCTGTCTCTTCTGCCTACCTTATCTCACTTAGCATAACATCCTCCAGGTTCTTCCATGTTGTCATAAATGACAAAATTTCCCCTTTTCAAGCTGAAGACTTTTTCAGTGTATATTAACCACATTTTCTTTAGATTAATTGTAGGTCTTGGCTATTGTGAAATGATGCAACACACATTGGAATGCAACTGTCTCTTCAACATATGGACTTTATCTCCTGTAGATAACAGATCCAGCAGTGGGATAGAGCCATATTATGTGATAGTTCTCTTTTTAATTTTTTAAAAAACTTCCATACAGCTTTCCATAACGGCTATGCTAATTTCCATTCTTATGCACAGAACACAAGCGATCTCTTTTTTCCATTCCTATCAACACTTGTAATAGCTATTCTAACAGTTATAGTATTCTCTGTGGTTTTAATTTGTATTTATGATTAATGGTGAGAATTTTTATATGCCTTGTATATGTCTTCTCTGGAGAAATATCTATTTTTGAAGATTTTTTCACATTTTGTTTGCTTCTGTTTTGTTTTGGGCTGTTGGGGATTGAATACAGGGCCTCACACGTGCTAGCAAGCACTCTGCCATCTTTGTGGGGGTTTTGTAAGTGGTCGTGGTGCTGGTGATAATGAAGATTGAACCTTCACATTGATGTACATCCCTCGCCCCTTTTTCTTATTTTGAAACAGGGTGTTGCTAAGTTGTCCAGGCTGGGTTAAATTTGCAGTCCTCCTGCCTCAGTCTCCCAGAATGTTAGGATTCTAGCTATGCACCACCACACCTGGCTCTTTGACCATTATTAAATCATATTAGTTATTTTCTTGTCATTGAGTCATTCCTAATGTATTTAGTATATTAACCACTTATCAGATGTAGGTACTAATATTTTTTCCCATCTCACAGACAGTCAAATTCTGTTGACTTTTCGTTTGTTGTATAAAAACTTTTTTTTTTAATTTGATGTAATCCTGTGGGTCTGTTTGCACATTCATTCCCTATGCCTTTAGAGTCATGTCTAGAAAAATTTTTGCTCAGACTGACGTCATGGAGTTTCCCCCCTAACTTTTTCCTTTAGTAGTTTTAAAGTTTTTGGTGCAATGTTTAAGTCATTAATACTTTTTTTTTTTGAGGAAGGGTCTCACCAGATTTTAGGCTGGCCTTGAACTCATAGCCCAGGCTGGCTTTGAACTCACAGTGATCCTCCTGCCTCAGCTTCCCAAGTGGTGGGATTACAGCATGCACCACCACATCGCCGTCTAATACATTGTGACTCGATTCTATGTATGAGATTGGCACTTTCAAGTTCTTTTTTTCTTTCTGAGGGGACATATCAGGAATCAAACTCAGGACCTTGCACTTGCCAAGCAGGCACTCATACCCCTGAGCTAGCTCCCTGGCCCCAAAATTGGCATTTTATTGTGATATTGACATTTATATCTATCCATGTAAATATCAGTTCCATCATCATTTATTGAAGAATCTAGCAGCAAGAGATTAAAGGCATGTACTACCATGCCTGGCTTATTGTTTTTAAACAGAATATAAAGATATCCCTTGGGCTGGTGAGATGGCTCAGTGGTCTAAAGCACCTACTTAGA